TAAAATATATTAAATCAGGTAATATCTATATTAATGTTTTAGGTACAATATTAACATCCTTGAGAAAAAAAAATTTAACCAGAAACTCAAGATAAGAAGCAATTTTGTCAATAATCAACCAGATCAATTGAAAATTATACATTGTTACACATGTATAAATAAAATATAAAGAAAGTAGTAAAATTTTTTTATGAATATAGAAGAAGCTTACTTGTTGGTCATTTGCTGAAGATATGAAGACGTACCGTACTCTTTAAAATCTTTGATACAGAGAGCAATCCACAGCCAAAATAGATGGGAGAGACCTGAGCTAAGCTTAGGTAGATCTTCAAAAGGAAAAAGTATATTCCAACCAAACAGAATTTTCCGAATAGAGTAACCTGGATTCTTAAGCTCCTTTTTTAACTCGCCGAAGGAGAAGAAGCATCTGAAGTAGAGTTTTTGTAGCAGAAGTTCCACACGTTGAAGTTCTGTGGAATCAGTACAATTAGAACCTGCAGTTTCAGAATCATTCAAAGGTATTTCCGATTCCGAACTTGCAATCCTTGTTCTTAATCGAGTTAACTTGATTTAATTGAATTGGGATCGAATTTATTGGTTCATTGTACATGACTATCTCTTGAAAATTTTGGTTGTGATTTCGGGTGTCTAATCTGTGTATCAAGTGGTTTCTGTCCTTTTTCTTTATCATTATCATGTGCCCTGTTTCCCCATTATTTTCAAAAAAATTGCATTGTGTTTATACCTTAATGTTCTATAATTTTGCAATTCGTGTTCACTAAAATTCTGATGTAGATGTGGAATCTGCACTTTAGTCGATTGATCCCTGTTACTACTTGATTGAATCTTTCGTTAGCTCATGAATGGTGTCTTGTGTGTACAAATCTCATGGATGTCTTTAATTTTAGTGTTCCTCCAAAGGACCTGTTCTCGTCTCATAAGTCGTGTGATATATGCTTCCTTTAGAGTGTCCTGTTGGTGTATGAAATATGTTCTTGTTTGTTGAGTTTGGTGGTTAAAAATGGCATAAGTCTGGTTCCTTAGGGCAGATTCTTGTGAGTGCGTGCATATCCTGTTTTAGCTTGATTTCTATTCATTTCATGTTTGACTTGATTGTACTGACGTAATGAGTTAGTTTTGTCTATTTTGAGCCTAATTGGCAATAAATTTTGATCAAAGCAGTAGTGCTGGCCAATTTCTACATACTGCATGCATTATGAGTAGGATTTGGTGGGGAGATAATGTTGATATAAATTTTTTTTTTGGCCGAAGAGTACAGGTGATTTCTTTAAAAATGCCAGAAAAACTGTCAAATGGTTTCAATGATTGAGATAATTAACAATGTATCCAAGATAAACATTTCACCCAAGACTGGAAATTAATTCTAAACCCTAATACCCAACAACTAAACAATCCAAGGAGGGTTTCAAGTGGAGATTTCACCTGAAAGAAACCGCTATCCATCCAAGCCGTAATGAATTTCAAAAGCCCTTTCCAAAACATAACAAGCTAGAGTGAAATATGATCCTCTTTTCTGAGTACTCCTGAACCAATTGCAAATAAAAGAAAGATCTGACCCATAAATTGGTGTTTTGGGATGTTAAATTCAGGGGAATAGCTTGGCATTGCCATGAAATAAGATCTACAGTCGGAAAGTTGGTTTGATAGTTTTGGGCTGACGATTGGGGAAGAAAAGATGCTGGAAATGATTTTGGGTTTTATTGATATTGAAATGGAAAACTTTAAAAGGAAACCAACGGAAAGTAGGTGGAACGTTGGAGGCTGGTATTTACGGGGGAGGTGAGGTGTGAGGTGGCAGGTGGGAGATGGAAAACAGCATCTGGGAGCGTCTAGCAGCGGGGAAACTCTCAGTGGAGAGGAGAAAGCCCTAGGGCCGTAATAATCCTAGAGGTAATTAATGTGGATATAATTGATAGATTTATTATTTCAAAATTTTGAGAGTTTCAACTTGGTCTTAGTAAGTAGTAACAAATTGTCCCATAGGTGATTAATGCATACTTGCATTTTTTTCCACAACCCAACTGTCCTACGTTTTTTTTTTTTTTTTTTTTTTTTTGAGAGGATAGGACATGTGGTTTAAATCTGTGGAAGAAAGAGCTGAGGAGGGGGGTTTACATACGTTTGAGCCCTCACCAATGAATGAGAAAGCCTTACATTTTGAGATTTAGCCAGTGAACCCAAAGTCCTTCCCCCACCGGTCTATGTAATAAATTTTCTATGTAATATATATTAAGCTTGTTATTTTTTATGGAGGTGAAACTAGGGCTTATGCCCTCAGTAAGTAGATCAGGGTATTATAGATGTGAGGGAAGTGTTGAAGGAGCGTGGTGTTTAGGTTAGTATGCTTTGAGGTACTTGTAAAGTTGTAGTAATAGCCATTATGGAGAATAGTGTTCATTCTATTTTAAGGATGAGTTTGGAGTCTCTCTGTATGGAATATTTAAAATATGTGATTTTGGCTAGTCCAACTAAATATATAAATCATGTAAAGTCTACAAGTTCTCTAAAAATATTAAACAATTTTCATTAAATAGATCTTACACAAAAATAGTACATTATAATTTAGAAGTCTAAAGAAAGCCAACTAAATAGAAAAAGAAAAACACTTATTAATTAAAGGAAAGATGGAAAGGATATATATGAAGACATTTCAATCTAGTCTGTGCATGCACTCACACATCTTGCACTGCTCACACACCTCGCTGCTATCTACTGATCCACGTTGTTCCCTACTTCCTAAAGGTTGAAATACTTGTGAATATTGTTTGCAATAGGGCAAGTATAAGCAAGGAAGCTGCAGCAAAAAAGGAGAACAAAGCCCATGGAGTGTTGAAATAATTGTGCCTTAAGTCTGCCATCCTGTTGTTCCAAGGTGTGTAGTAATGTCTGTTGACATCATTAAATAACTTGGCATAAAAGAAGTTTTTTTGGTCGACGATGACTTCAGTTCCAAGCCTATTAAACATCTTGGCAGTCGCCTCGTCAGTGCCTAACCAGTGATCCATTATCCCTTTGTGACAAAGTAACTCCACATCCTTCCCTGTATCAATGAGACAATCCATGACTGTTGTATATTCGGTTAAGAATTTTGGAGATAGACAGTCGTCAAACTGTTCACAGGCAATGATATTGCGATACAATCCCTCAGTACGATCTTCAGGATTCACAGCCGGAATGTAAAGTGTCCCATTTTCAAACTTTATATCAAACAAGTTGCGTCCCTTACCCCTTCTGAACTTGATTCCTGCCTCCCTTAGTTCTGTAGCACAACGTATGAACTTTTTAGCTTCTCGCACGTTCCAGTATTCATTCATTGTATCTTCTGAAGGAAGCCAATTGTTGCGTAGAAAGTCTAATAGATGCTTGACCTTTTTTATTGAATTTTCATCACAGGCTAGACGAAGCGTTAGCCCTGGCATTTGATTTTCATACAACTCAATAATTACCCCAATCCAAGTGCTTCGTCGATCCTGAAATGAGATGCCTAAAAGCTCCCATAGTACAAAAAAAGGAAGTTGATTCTCAACTAGTATCAAATCTTTCTTAATGTTACTGAAAACTTGACGTACTTTTAAGATAGAATCTTGCTGAAAACTTCTCTCCTTAATTTTCCAAATTAGCTCGACAATAAAACATCCATCAAGAACCATCATTTCTAAAAATTCTCGATTGGAAATAACCAACGATTCCGCATAATAGTTACGAGCTTTTTCCATCATATTTGCCACGGTATCTACATATATTTGAGCGTTGTTCTCCCCTATTCGATGAAGAAGATCATTTAGAAAACGCACCTTGTGTGTTTCCATTGCTTTTAAATTATCTTTATGGAGATGATAAGGGCCAATGGAAATGAGTTGAGGTTCATAGGCTTCTTCATTTAGCTTGCGGAAATAAGGAGGCACTTGAAAAATTTTGGGCCATGAAG